TTGGAACGTTGTTTTGAACCCTGTTGGCGTACCATCTATTTTCAGAAGGGCACCATACGCGACATCGGCGATGATTGAGAGCAATATACGGCTTGTGGCCGTGCTGCCAAATGAAAGTGCGTCCACGGCTGACTTGTCGCCCTATCGATAAGGCCATGGGGCAGCTCTCAAGGAGGTTGAAAATCACCCAACTCCTTGGTGTACACACGCAATGCCTCAGTGGAGAGTTGCGGCCCTCCCCCAGTCGCAAACCTCATGGGGCTCTGCAGTGCTTTCATCCATGGCTCAACCATGTCTCTGCTCACACCTTGGTCTTGCAATGCCCTCAGACTTCCAATGTCATGGGCAGCACCAGTGTCCCCTAAGAACTCCAAGGAATATTTCTTAAAGTTCTGAACTGCAGGATGAACCATTGAAGCCGCTGTTGTCTCTCCAATCTGATCATAGGAATTTGTAATGGATGAAATCAATGTGGCAAGAATAGGAACTGACAACTTCAAGAACATGTTCAAAGAAGGAAGGGCCTTGTCGCAAAACTGGCAAAATGACTGCCAAGCCTTCTGTACCTGCTTGCCCTCGACTTCAGTGATGGTCACAGTGGATGCCGCTGCAGCCACAGCTGCTGGGGCTGTCGCACCGCCCTTGTTGCCCTTGGTGTCTCCTATCTTCCCCTTGCCATTGCTTTTGTTTTTCCCCTTACCGGGCTGTTTACCAGAGCCCTTCGAGGAATCACCCCCTTTTGGGTTGTTTTTCAAGAAATCTGAGTAGGCTTTTCTGGCAGTGTCTGATCCAGGGTCACCTTGATGTTGGTTGCGGCATCGATCCCCAAAACGGCAAAATCCTGCCGTATGCAGTGCACATGGAAATTTCTATGTACTTTGGGTTGTAACTGGACCAGGGGTAGCAGGTTGGGCAACAGCTGCTGTTTTCTTTGGCCTTGGGGTTCGTGTCGGCTTTTCTCCAGTTGCAGGCAAAGCTAGCTGATGCGGAGGTGTCCCCCGCAGACCTTTGACCACGTTCTCATAGTTCATATCATGGCGTCTTTCTCTGAGTTCTTCTGAAATTTGTGCCCAAATCCATTCAAATGATCTTTTCTTTGATCTCTGGCTAGACTCTCTGACCTTGTCAGTGACACGTCTCAGAATACCCAATCCCTTGATCTGGTGCCATAACCATTCGAACATTGTTTTTGGAGATGGTCTGTCCACACTCTTAAGGCCATGCAACACATAGTTCACCTTCTTGACGAACTCTTCCAGCTCCTTGATCCCCTTTCCCTCTAATTGGAGATTCAAAAGATGCATTTGTCCCAAAGCTACGGCCCTGTCCAAACTCGTTTCGTAATACGAAATAATGAGGTTCAGGAGCGGAGTGCGCCCTTAGGCCCCTCAGCTCTCGCTGCGCAGCGCTCCACCCAGCTGGTGATCTCATGGGCGAGCTCCACATTGGTAGACAGCACCTCGGGTTTAATCAATTCCGCCGCAATATGTTTGTTCAGCATAATGAAGTCCTTTGATGTCTGCAACGAATTTCTAAATGCCTTTCCTCTATACCTTCCATTGCAAGTGTGGCCCACTTGACAAGGACATCCGTCTGTGAAAGGTCAATTCTAGAAATCGATGCTAGGAATGCCGCACGCCATTCTCTGCACGAAGTTGCATCGTTGGGCAATCTTGTAATCACAATTGACTTCAGATGCTTCAATTTGTACACATCTTCTTCAGATTTCCCTTCTGGTAACCAACCATCTTTTGGAGGTTGAAAACTCTTATCACCAATCAGTCCCTGCGAAGTTGAAGAACCATTTGATGATGAACCACTTCTTGGTGTATGTATTGCAAATTCAGCAACGCCAGGATTTGAAGGTATACGTCCTCCCATGGTAGACCTCACTTCTTCTCGACCTGTGCCTCTAGCAGTAGGTACAATGTATCCACCTTGAACCCTTGGTCCTCCTTGCACAAAGTTGCAATAACGCAATTCCTGCTTGCATTGGAACGATTCCTCATTGCAACCAAAGCTGAATCCTATGAAGACGTCACTTGGATTGCTCATTTTATTTTTTTGCTTTGTTTCGTTTCACATGTTTTTTTTGTCGTCAGACATGTCTGTATTACTTTTTTTGTGTCGGACATGTGGTTGGAGGTCACCCACTGGAATGACATCAGATGCATTGCGGAGGCCGCCCAAGAAACAGCCAATGAATTTAATTGATCGGAAGCTTCATCTGAGACATCTGCCCTGCTGGAACAGTGAAGATTTTTCTTCCAATCGAACCGGAATGGATGGATGATAATACATCATCGTCGTCCTGAAATGCAACTTTTAATTTTGCCCAATCATTTGCCAAATGGTCAAATTGGAATGGATGAACATCATCGTCCTGGATTTGTCGTCAAGGTGCTTGGAAAACCATGTCACAGGAAGATGCAGGTATGTTATAATACCAACGGAGTCCACTTGCATACAAGTTTTACATGCATTGTACGAAACCTTTTTTTGCAATGTGCATGCATGGGAACATGATGGATGCACTGTGAGAGTGTTTAATGAGCAAAATGAAAATGAGCCCCAACACCCGGAAGAAACAGTGGCCATGGTTCTGCCTAGGCCACCAGCTCTTACTTGTGCACTTCATGTTGCTGCTGCTCTTTGCATGCCTGAACCACAGACTAGCGCAGCCATGAATTGTTTCTTTCCATGCACTGTGAGAGTGCGAGGTATTAGAATAATTTGTTAGGAGTTCCATTGCCAGCCTCCTGCCAATTCCTCCACTGGGCCACTGGGCCAAGGAACCTTCAACTGGACATGGAACAGAAGGCTTGGAACCTCAGGAGTGTGGAGTGGTGGGTTATGTGGCGATGGCACAGAAGGTGTTGTTGGAACCAATCTGTTTTTTTTGGGGTTGGGGATTAACATAATGTGGCACACACAGGTGTTGTTGGAACCAATCTGTTTTTTTGGGGTTGGGGATTAACATAATGTGGCACACACATTGACATTGGGGGGCGCCCCCCCTTTGGGGCCCTTCACATCCTGCCACATTAATCCACACATTGACATTGGGGGGCGCCCCCTCTTCTATTTCCAGCGGGTTCTATTTCCAGCGGGGTTTCGGAAGCCAGAACGGAAGCCCCGCTTGCAGGTAAAATTGAAGATAAAACAAGACTTTGGGGCCCATGTCTGGTTTCAAGTCTTGAATGTACTTGCATCATGAAAAACCAATTCCAAAAGTGACCTTCAACCCGAAAAGAAATCTTGTCTCTTCCCTGTTCTTTATCATAGCTGTGGCCGGTCGCCTCTCAATCCTCAAGGAAACTAGGAACCATCATGGCGAAAAGCCAACAGGGGTCTCGAGGCCCAAAGCGGTCCCGGGCCTCAAAGATAAAGATGCGCTGCGCCTTCAAAAGGTGCAGACGAAATGTGGATGTGAAAAACGCAGGCGCTGAAAGGCAGCTAAAGTGTCAAGAAGTCAACATGGTCATGTGCCGGGCTGTGCGAAAACATTGCAAGACCATCAGGTTTTGCTGCAAAGACCACTTGAAGCAATGTAAGGCCACTCCACCACGCAAGAGTGGTGGGAAAGAAGCATTAACCCAGAACCAATGCATTACGCTGATTCAAACATTGCTTGTGATATGTCCATGGGCTGCCGTGCTTTCTCTTCTGCAGCTCTTTATTATTGACAGGGCCGACTGTGCCCGTAGCTGCCGTTGGGGTTGGCTATCAGGGATGGAACCTGATTCAAAGCGCCAGGCAAGTATCACCATACCGAAAGTGAATGGGAAAACCATCCCCCGAACCATTCCCATCTACCAGCCCTTTGCTGCGCTGTTGTGGAAAACCATCCATGGCAATCCCATTGAGGCCCCCAGCGGTGAGATGTGGCCAGCAGCAGGGCAAGATGTGGACTCACCAGAGTCACCTTTGTTTCCAGGCTTTGAAGCAGATGGCAAAACCCGAAATTGGAACAAACCCATTTCTGAGCGTGCGTATCTGGCACGTCTCGAGCAAGCAGCAAAAATTCTACGTGCACAAAGAGCTGTGGCGCAAGCAAGCAATGTTGCCCATGCTTTCCATGATTTTGATTTGAGCCGTCTAGGCACCCATTCATTCAAAAAGACATCTGTGACTTTGTTTTCGGAACACCAGGTGTCTTGGGCTATCATATCAGCTATTTCAGGCACTTCCATACCTATGCTGCAAAGAAGCTATGATGTTGCAACTCCTGTACGGCAGCACAAGGCCATGAAAGATGTCTTTGGCCAAGCTTGGCAACCTGTGCTGCTGACACAACGAGCCCATCTTGAAGAAAAAGACTCTCAACCAGCCAAGTATTGTGGAAAGTGTGGCCTATCTCGACGACATCCAGATGATATCTTTTGCACTGCTTGTGGGTCAGAGCTGTGACTAGGGTGCATTGGCTGATGTTAATGCTTCCCTGAGTAACAGAAACATCTATGTATACAGTAATTGCTAAACACCACGTTTTGACATCGAAATCAAAAAGTATCAAAAAGGTCAATGCAAACACGCTTATGTTTCACTCACATGATGCCGATGCCTTGCAAAAAAAAAAGTGATTCTGGGTGAAAGCCACTGTGAGAGTGGCACGTGTTCGAGACATGTGTCAGCCCCGCACTCTCACAGTGCCTGGTCCTTTGAGGCCTGGACATTGCGCAGGGCAGGGAGGCCTGGACGCAAAGTGGGTAACGCCAGCGAGCCGAGGCCGAGCCCAGCTGAGGTTTCGGCGGCACAATAGTTACTACGACAAATACCATAACCACAACAATACCACCACTGTGAGAGTGCAAATAGCATAGTTACGGGAGTCCGCAGCACTGTGAGAGTGCAAGTTTTTTTGGCTACTCTGCGACAGCTGCCGGTCTTTGCCACGTCATTCGCCAGGACCATGCTTTTGAGAAATTCGTGAACTTGCACGGCCCAGTGCCAACCCCCAAGGCTTTGGAATAGACGTGAGGATATTGACGCAGATCTGATCACTTGGACAAAATCAAAGCTGACTTTGCAGGCACCACGACATCGCTCATCAAGAGCACTGCTGGGCGCACAGGCAACAAACCCTTTGCACTCCAACGGGTCAGGAAGACCACCTCGGCATAGCCACCCCAGGTGTTCACTGGCACAGCAGCTGCAAAGCTGACTTGCTTGGCAGTGACACCTGCCTCCGGATCCTCCTCAGCTGTCAAGCCTTTGGGCACAAACCCCACACGCTCATCTTGTGTGAGGGTCCACTGAGTCGGTTGGTCAGCTTGGGGACTGTCCACTTTTGTGTGGTAGCAAATGCCAATGCTGGGGTTCTTCAAAAGCTCAGCTTCAAGCAGATCCTTCACCGTTCTCAAAGCCGCTGCGTGGAACACAATGGACTCAGGGGACATCTTGATTTCAACCTCTTTCTCGCCAAAGTCCTGAGATTCAGATGCCTTTTTCCAAGTTCCTTGCCCAAAGCCAGCCACGATCATGCCCGCATTCATCTTCACATCAGCAGCAGATCCATTGATCAAGAAGATCTGGTTGTTCTGCTTCACGATCAGCTTCACCCCACCACCTTTCACGTTCATCACATCACAGCTCAGGAGTGTGGTGGTAGTGGGCAGATCCTCCTCCTTCAAAATCTTGTCCGGATGTGGTGCCTCACGGCGACGGCGCAAAGAACGCTGTTCACCGGAATCCGGGGCCCCACGCCTCCTGTTCGGCACCTGGGTAGGTGCAGGTGCTGGTGCCGCAGGGAAAGGCCCAAACTCCTCAACCATCTTGTCCATCATGGCTCGCCATTCTGCACCGTGAAGATTGTGGAGCTCCCAGTCCTGACATGCTGGGAAATCAGTTGACACACAGCTGCATTAAGTCCAAGTTCAAACATGAAAAACAAAAACATGTTGAGCCAACCCGAGATTAGTTCACGCTTCTCCTTGTTGAGCTGGTCCGGAACCACAGGATAATCTTTCTGAGGGCCACCAAGCGTCAGAAGATGCAAGGTTGGAGGTCTTGGCTTCTCAGCTACAAGCTCCTCGGGCAGGTCTGGGCTCATGTGGGCACTGCCTGGCAAACTGATCTCTGCCGCCAAGTGCCCCTTTGTCAAGAACTCGGTTTGGGTCTGCAGAAACCACTCTTCTGCAACATTGTCGTCGGTCAATGCGATGTAGGCTGATGGCTTGGTCCACTGCTGCCTCTGCTGGATCCAGCCCTGGAACATGTCACCAGGTGACATGTTGAGATCAACCAGAATGATGCCGCCATTGGGGTCTACCTCCACTCCTTCCAAACTGTTCTCGATGAGACAAGTGTAGGTGGCCTTCCCCAGCTGCTCGAACTTCTTCGCTCCTGCCACAGTCCCATCGGCATCTGTGGTGTGCGGCAGTGCACCATCAGCACAGTCTTCCACCACCTTCATGTCAGCTGTTGCAAGCTGCTCAATGGGGGGTGTGCGGCCTTCCTTCACCAGTGGGCATGCAGCGAACACCCAGTCCTTCTCCCTGAAACTTTGGCCCATAGCAATTCGGGCCTTGTACACCAAGGGACGTGTGTCACGGGTGTCTTTGCGCGCTTCGAACTGGATTGCCAAACTCCGGTCGATAAAGAGCCCACCATTGCTCAAGGCCTCCAGACAGGACATCTCAGCTCTCCAGCTCTGACCACGTTTGTAGCTGAATTCTGGCATGATAGCCACAGCCATAGCCGAACAGCTCTGGTTCAAGATCACACTAGCCATGTTTGCCTGGCAATTTCGCAAAGCGTCTCGGATTCTGCACACAGCTGCCCAATTGAGCATCACCACAGTCACCAGCTTGTCTTGCTGGAGTCCATAGGCCTTGCAAAACTCGGACTTGAAGTCAGCGAAGCGCCTCAAGTTCTCATCGGACTGCGTGGAGCACAGGATCTTGACATTCCTGTTCAAGAATGCCCCTGCAGCACCATGGCTGTTTTCCCAAGCTTTCATCCGGTGCGCAAGCTTTTGCTGATACAAAGTCCCTTCAAAGCTGGTCAAGCGAATCCGATAGACTCGGATAGCCTGCCAGTCATACTCAAGTCGATTCTTCACCAGTTTCCAAGTGTCTTCCTCAAGCTCGCCGATCTTCATTGCTTTGGCCCCCTGCACCGGCACAGAGTTGGCATGGGCATCCATCCTCAGCTCGAAGTGTAAGAAAAACAGACTGAACATGTTAAACACAAGACTGTGAACCTGATAAATGATCAATCTACCACTCTCACAGTGGCTCACAGTGGCCACTCTCACAGCAGCAAAAAACGCAGTTTCCTTGACATGTGTTGATCAAGCTTCCACTCTCACAGTGGCTGATTTAACGCAACCAAGATTCAGCTCCGCAAGTTGCTTGACACCTCGTGGTTCAAGCGAGGCATCCTTCTGAGACAAATGCATTTGAACCTCCAACATCACAGATTGGTCACACCGCATCCAAGCGGTCACCCAATTTTTCTCGATCTCGCCATCATCCAATTGCACTTCTTGCTTTGCATGGCCTGCCATGTTGATCACAAAGGCTGCCTGCTGAGCAAACTGCTCCAAATCTGAGCGGGTAAACTTCCGCCTGGATTCTGGGCTGGTGGCCCCAAACTTTTTCACAGCATGTTGAACTGCCAAAGTTGCCGACCCCACCGTCACTCTTCCCAAGGCCGTCCATGTTTTTGACCCGCTGACATTGCGGAAGGTGTGTCCAGGTAGCAGTTTTTTCGACGACAAAGCATCATCGGTAAACGCGCAGCTCTGCCATCCAACCAGCTGCACGTGCTCCTGCACACACTTCAAAGCTTCAACGGGGAAATCCTCCAGCAAGGCCCGGACTGCTTGAGCTTTCGAACCCGTTAACTGAAAGTTTGAAGGGTTTTGCGAGTTGAATTTTTTGATGAGAGCCTGAACATCCACCTTGCCAAAAACCATCAGGTTCTGGACTGCCTGGACCCAGCACATGATGCTAGGAGCTTTGCGCAAACTGCCTTTGATCGAGTTCTTGAAGTTCATCAGCAATTCGTCTTTCAAGGTTTGGGTCTCCACATACTGGCAAAAGATGTATTGAACACTTTCGTAAAGAGTTGGGTGAACCTGGCCCGACAGAAATGCAAAGCTGAATAAAGCACAGCGCAATGTTAAAAGAAACATATACCAAATCGGAACAAGTGGGTCAACCAAGAAAACCATCAAAATTAAACAGTGAAAATGTGGGCCTAGCAACTTCCTCAATCTTCAGGTTGTTGTCATGAAAGATGCTCAAGATGCTCAGCAAGGTATGCATCCTTGCCTTGCCCTTGCAGAACCCAACTGCAAAGGGCTGCAAACGGTCTGCAGGCTGAACTTGACACGGGCATGCCTTCATCACATCAGGTCGGAGCGTAACCAGCAGCGGGTCAGCCTGTGACTCGAAGCCATTGGTCAGGATCTGCTCGGCCAGATCCATTGTGTGCTTTTGATCCGTATCTGGCTTCACGCTGCAAAGCGCTGCAAACGAAAAACACCAGGCGGGCAACTTGAGCATGGTGCTGGATGGCTGCTCTGACCACTTCTTGGAGTCAAACAGGTTGTGCATGGGGTGGCTCTGAGCAGACAAAGTGTGGAGATACTCATAGAAAAGCATGGCTTCTGCACGCTCCTTGTACCTCTGCTCCAAGTAAACCCGGGCAGATCCAAACTTCTCCAGCAACTGCTTCAGCGCTGAGATCACAAGGTTCTTTTGCAGGTCCAAGTCGGTGGCCTCAGGAATCAGACCCTCGGTCCACTCAGTGGTTGCCATCTCTTGCTTCATCTCCATCTTTTTGTCTTCCTCCTCCTCTTTGGCACCCGCTGCCTCCTCTTTGACATAGGCATCTGGGCTAAGACCCTGCTCAGACTTGACCTCCATATGGTCCATATCCATAGCTTGCGGGGACGCCATGCTTGGGGATGGCAAGTCTGGGCACACGGGCAAAAAATGAATGTTGGGAGTTGCGCTGGACAGCCTGTGGTAGGTTTGGCTGAATCAGCTTGCCGGCTTGAGTGGGAAAGGCACGACGCAGTGAAATCAAGCAGTGCAATGGCCACTCTCACAGTGGTGTCAGACATGAAATTGACAGAATCCTGGCCAAGGTCAATATTCCACATCCAATGGTCTATAAAACAAGACAACACATCATCGTGACTATAGCTTTCTTTCCTTCATGGTCGCACCCTCTGATTCCAGCCTTGATGTCAACACAGCCACAACAGCTTAGGACACCTGGCCACTGACATGAAAGAATAAAGTCTTGGAGTGAAAAATCAAAACATACCATACTGTACATGCAGCATACACCTTCGAAAGCTGACGTGACAAAAATACAAGGCCAAACAAGAACATGCGCAAATGTCAATGTGTAGGAAGGTGAAGAAAAACCCCAATCCAGAAAAATAAATATATACATCCATGGATACCGCAGAAATCGACGGATCAGCTGTCTCCCCAAAAAGCGCCGGATCAACTGTGAAGAGCATATCGACGGATCCAGTAAAATCGCCGGATCTCCAAGGGCCGCTAAAAATCGCCGGATGTCAAAGGGTCTCAAGTGTGAGGTCATCCTCTGCTTCAGTCTGGAGATCCGGCGATTTTACTGGATCCGTCGATATGCTCTTCACAGTTGATCCGGCGCTTTTTGGGGAGACAGCTGATCCGTCGATTTCTGCGGTGTCCATGGATGCAGTGCATTTGCCTGCGCAAACGATTACAGGTATGCGTTGGTAACGGCATGTGTATTCGTGTGTGCACATGCACATTTGCATGCCTCTCAGACAATGTTTGCTGTCAGAAAACACAGGCAGATGCACAAACGAGAATCTATCCTACTTTCACACCCGTGTGTCCATACGTACTACCTAATACAAATAAACTCAACCAAAAAATGCCAGACGACACCAGGTGATGCACTGTACTTTCAATTGCGCAAGTTCTTGCAAACAACACTGTCTTGAGATTAGCATGTAGGAAGGGTAAATGATAAATGCCTTCATGCTGATGAGTGTGGACATATTGTTTGATGCAAGTCTGCACACATGCTTCTGTATCCACAAAGCCACATGGTGAAACAGCTTGTATCTAAGCATGCATGTGACGCATGTGCACACTTTGACCTAACCGAAAGCACAACAAAAACAATGTTCACAATGCAACAAGGCCATCACAAAAGAAGGGCCAAGCGGCCCAGCCCAGCAACGCATTGGGAGAGTGGGAACATGTTGGAACTGCCAAGTTGGGTCTGGATCAACTGCCCTGCCACTACATACGAACCACTCTCACAGTGGATAAGCAACATGCGCTCCAGCCTGGCAAATGATGAAGAGCCTCTCAGGTGACAGACACTCATAAACATGTCTTTTGACACCATTATATTGACATAAAGTATACCTGTCAAACCTTTGGATCTCACGGTGATCGATTTGGTCCAACGGGGCACAACGGGGGATCACCCTCTGAGCGCTTCGGCTGCACCCGGAGCTTCGCTGCTCGGCTGTGGCCAGCCCCCCTGCCGCAGGTCAAGGGGCACAACGGGGGAACCACAACAGGTAAACAACAAGGGGACACGGCTGGGGAACACCAAAGGGGTGAAATCAGAAAAGCTGTTCAAATGCTGTTTAAACGAAATGTGAATAGAAATAATGAAATCAAATTGAAATGTGATTTAAATATAATTGAAATGTGAAAAGTTAATCTATTTCTAATACATTTCTACGGTGCGATGCCCTTTTTTCCATGGTTGCCAGGTGCGATCTCAGCACAGCTCTTCTTTGATGTGCGATCTCAGCACAGCTCTTCTTTGATGCATCGGACAATGGCCTTCACCATCATCGGAGGGTATACCTGAGCCCATTTGGAAACCTTCTCCCCTCTGCATGTGCCTTGGATAGTGGCATGTTCTTCACCACGAAGATCGCAAATGCATTGCCGATTGGCGAACTCCTCCATGATTGCCATTGAGTTCGTCATGAACTTGGTCAATTTCTGGAGCGGCCGTCCAGCTGGATCTCTGAGCCCCCAGCGGCATTGTGCAAATGAGAAGATCTTCACGCCAGGAAGCTGCTCTACCTTTGTGACGCTTTCTTCCTGCCAGGAGCTGGCACCGGAAGGATGCTCGAAGAGAAACTTCCGATCCCTTTTCACCTGCTCCTCACAAAGGTCCATACTATAGTCCAAAAAGCCCCGCGCTTCCACACCTTGGGCCTCCAATTTGTCTGGGTCCATCTTGGCAGCACAACAGTTTTGATGCATGATGGAAAAGAACGTACAAGGAGGGCTGACCAGCAGCAGGTGGGGCTTGTGTTTGCTGATCAAGTCTTTGCCCTTCTTCCGGTCCATTGCATTGTTGCAATCCCATCCGCTGGTCAGGTCCAAGCTGATCTGCGCCTTGAGGCCCATTTCCGTAGCAACTGGGACCAATCGAGGTGGTGAAAAAACCTCCAAAACAGCATCGTGTGCATGATGCTTGGCCTCACCAAAATGTTTTGGATACCATGGTGTTCGATCTGGAGGCAAGTCATCATCCTTCCTCTTCCGGGCCTTGCCTGTGGTCTTCTTGGGTTTGAGATGGGTCTTGCGCACGGTCTTCTTGGGCGAGGCCTGGCCAGTTGCTTTGAGGGCCTTCTCCTTCCTCTTGGTGGAATCCTTCTTCTTGGGCGAACCCTTGGGCTTTGCCTTGGAAGCTCCATGCCCTCGTCTTGGTCGAGCCAGCTTGCCCATCAGTTCCCGTTCCCCATCTGATTCCACATCAGAAGGGAGAGCTAGAAAACGCGCATCTTGTTCCGGGTCATCATCAGAAGGCAACTCGGATGGCATACCGCCCCAGTCTAGCGATTCAAAAAGAAAGTTGCAACTGGGACTTGGGCCTACGAATGCACCTGCAAAAAACGATTCCAAAACATAAACTGATAAACTTCCCAAGGTTTGGAGCAAACATGAGCAAACAACGTCGCGTTCAACTCCCAAGCCATCATCTTCAGAACCCCACTCTCACAGTGGACTTGCCCCGGTCCCAACCTGGCCTGCAACTGCAGCCGAAGGAGCCTCCGAAAGACAACAAAGATTTGAAGCAAACATATCCAAAGCCAATGCAATCATATCCAAAGCCCCACTCTCACAGTGGACTTGCCCGGGGTGTTACAACAAAATTTTGCTGCCGCTTTTTCTCATTCATGTCGTTCTGCTCCCCGCAGAAAGTCTGGAACAGAATGGTGTCTGCGACACCTTGACCTTTAGTCAGAATGTATCAGAGTCAGCAAAACCTGCGGCGCTTCTGCTGTGAAAAGGGCAGGCTGCTCACCAGGTCAAGCCTCTCATCACTTTGCATCCAGGCTTGTTGGGCTTCTGCTGCCATCATTCCTTCTTGGCGCTTCTGCTTCACATAAGCAACCCGCTTGACATTGAATTCGCCCGCTTTGTAACTACTGGTGCTTGCTGCATCGTCTGGCACTGGGGCGGCTCTAGCCTTTGGACTTGGCTTGGCCTTGGCCTTCGCTGTGCTCTTGGCACTGGCTTTGGCTTTTGCAACGCCACAGCCTCTTCCACGGCCTTTGCCACGCCCCTGTCCACGCCCAGCACCCACATCACCAGAGCCACCAGCAGACGCCAAAAGATCACTCAGCAAGACGTCTTCATCGTCCGCAGCCGGAGGCAAACCATCGGCTTGAATTGCTGCGTTCTCGGCTGGGAAAGACGGGGTCTCCATTGCCACTGAAATCTTCTTGGGCGCGAACTGCGCTATCACATTTTTGGGATCCATTTCGGCCTGGTTTGCTGATGCTAGGCGGTCCTCCACGGTGTGCATCTGGTAAAAACTCATTGGTGGTGGAACGGCTTTGGCCTTTACCATGGAATTGTGGCACAATGACTGCAAGTACTGGCTGGCTCGGATCATGCCCACTGGCGGGGAGGCACACAACGTTGCAGTCTTCTGGAACTCCTTGATTTGAGTCTGGCTCAACGCTTTCCGGGGCATAGGTTCAAGCGGTGAAGCGGCTTCCAGCTGATCCAGCTGCTTAGCTGGCAAGATCAAGATGGGATGTTGGCAAAGGCTCTCGCTGTTCATGTACTGCTTTGCCAGCATGATCACATCCTCAGGTCTCTGATCTGAAGGCTCGCAGTCCTTCAGGGGTCAACTCAATATGTCAGCAGAACAATGCTGGCATCGACGGTGAAACTAAGAATCAAACCACCCGCCCACAATTTTTACCATAGGTCCTGCTCTATGTTCCAGTCATCGCTGCCATTGTAGAATTGCAGGTCTTTCCTTTGCACAAAGCGGATGCAATGGGCAACATCTTTCGAGTTCTGATCAATGGTCAAGCCCTTGACACTTCTGTTCAACTTGCTGAGCCAGCTTTGGAAACATACTGTACCATCAAGGAAAAACGTGCGCAACTTCCGACCATTCAGAGGCACATAGCGGTTGCAAATCTCAGCTTGGAAATCCTGCAACTGCAACAAAAGGTTTGGTCACTGATAAAGGCTCGGCCACAGCATGGTTTGGAAAACGAACAAGATGCAATGAAATGACTGAACATCCTAAAATGCTACTGAACTCGGGTCCTCAGGAGATTCCAATGGGCGATCTGCTGTGTTAAAGGTGTGGGCCACCCTTGCAAATGCTTGATCGCACTCGTTGTGCGTGTGTCCTACCTGATAGAAGGCAAACGTCACACTCGACATCAGCCCTGATGCCACCAAATGGGCCCCCCATAGCATCGTCCACTGATTCCGCCCCTCTCTGGTGGTATTGTCCTGCTGAATGCAGACATGGCCAGGCATGGGCAAACTCTTCTCTGCCACGATGTCTGCGATTGCCTTCAAAGCATGGCTCAGCACTGTCAGCTGATGGTTGCTGTCCTTCCTTTGGTCGCAGCTGGCCACATAGAACAAGTCAGCGACACCATGGCACAACACCAACGTGTTGAGGAGCTCCGGTCTCCAAGCTGCTTCCCACTGCTTCCCCATGTCCATGTTCCTTGGCACCCGGTACTTCTGCTTGTCCATGCCATCCACACACATTAGATGGTTCGGCTGGACTCAGGAATGGTTGTGCCTGGCGCCATGGACATCTCACTGTGGACCGCCATAGAAGTGCCCAGCTGCCGGTCACGGAAGACTGAGCGCAAATGTGCGTTGTAGCCAGCATTCACAGTGGACTTCTGGGATTCTGAGGCTGCCTGTTTTCGATACTTCTTGAAGCGGATGCAAACATCACATTTCGCATGCTGGGTCTTTCTGCGAATTCTCAACGTGCCCTGCCAGTTCTTCTTCCAGCACAAGTAGAAAACAGTCGAGCTGACAGTTGTCTTCTCAGGGTGGTCTGCGTACATGTACAAGAACTGCTGGTAAAGGTCGGCAATGGACATGGGATGAAGCCACCTTTGCTCCCTCTCTTCCTGTGGGATGCCTTGGGCCACAAATGGATTGCCAGAACAGATCCATTCTTGGTAAGGATCGAAATGCTTGGATGAAGCCTGCAATTCGAGTTCAGCAGCTGTCGGGTCATCCATCTCTTCAGGCACATCGTCGGCCAGTCCTTCCGCTAAGGGCTCAGCCATGTGCTGGTAAACCCAATGAAAGAAGGCATTCACAATCTCAAAGCAAGGTTTCTGCCGCTCCTTCCTATGAGATCTTCCATCATCAGCTGGAACTTCTGCACCAGCAAGCAAAGAATCCACCAGCTTGCTCACCATTGTCTTGGATGACCCAGCCAGGATGTAGAAAGCTGAAGCGCAAACACCCTGGCCCAAGAACTTGTAATTCTGGACATGGGAGCGTAGGCCGCCATCTTTTTGCACCATGCCCCTCAGGATGTTGAACATGTATGTCCTACGTTCCTGGGTGCCCATGGACTTGCTGTGGCTTTGAAATTTTTCAACTGACGCTGTCAAGGCAGGGTCATCAGCAAACCTTCTGACACAAGATGCTTGACACCCACATTCTCGGTCATACCACCTTGGGGCCGGAAAGCTTCAAAACCACAAACCCCTGAAATGCTTTTAGCAAAAAAAATCATGAGCCACGCGCATGGAATTTGGCTACCCAGAGCCTTCTCGTCTGAAGAGCTGCGGGCGAGTCGTCATCCACATCAACTGGAAGCTCCGATGCCCCGGGCAGCACTGGTTGAGCTGCTGCGGTCTGTTGAAGTTCCACAGCCGTTGCTCCCATCAGCTCAGTCATGCTCAAACCACCATCATCTGCTGGCAGATCCATACAAGAACTATTTGAAGACACTTGGTCCCCCATTTGTTGCACTCTCCCAGTGCCAAGCCTGTGGCCCGAAACGGCTGCAACAATTGTTGTGCTCTCCCAGCACCAAGTCAGTGACCCACAGAAATACATGCCCAACAGCACCTTGGAATGAAAGCGCATGGGTGCAGAGTCTACCGATGGCTACGAAACCGATGTGACCAATGCCCAGCGTGCCTTTGTTGCAGGAGCAGTCGCCAGACTGACCTCAACCCGCCAGCGGTATACAGTACAATGCTGTACTTACTTACTACTGACTGTACTTACATACTATGACTACAATGAATCAAATCGCCTCAGCATTCTCACAGTGCATGATATAATCCCAGCACTCTCACAGTGCATGAAATCACCCCGGCACTCTCACAGTGCATCAAGTCACCCCAGCACTCTCACAGTGCATCAGTCTTTGCAATAACCTGAGGTCATGGACTTTGGCTAGGGTTGGGTTTGGTCTTGGTCAAGCGCCTGATGTCTGCTAAACCCTGCCCTAAAGAAAACCCAAAAACGACCAAAAAAAATACAAAACCAAACTGGGGGAGGGGGGTAGGGAGGTCTTGTTTTTCGCTCGTTTTTAATTTGTCTCTAAGTTTTGTAGGAAGCAAAGCGGCTTTGTTTTGAAATCCGACACGACAATCTAAGGTAAGCGAGATTCCAAAGTCATTGGCGTTACTGTTCGGCATGTTGGATGCTTGGTGTGAACTCAAAGTTTTGTTTTGGGCAGACATGGGCCCCAAAGTCTTGTTTTATCTTCAATTTTACCTGCAAGCGGGGCTTCCGTTCTGGCTTCCGAAACCCCGCTGGAAATAGAACCCGCTGGAAATAGAAGGGGGGGCGCCCCCCAATGTCAATGTGTGGATTAATGTGGCAGGATGTGAAGGGCCCCAAAGGGGGGGCGCCCCCCAATGTCAATGTGTGTGCCACATTATGTTAATCCCCAACCCCAAAAAAACAGCTTGGTTCCAACAACACCTTCTGTGCCATCGCCACATAACCCACCACTCCACACTCCTGAGGTTCCAAGCCTTCTGTTCCATGTCCAGTTGAAGATTCCTTGGCCCAGTGGCCCAGTGGAGGAATTGGCAGGAGGCTGGCAATGGAACTCCTAACGAATTATTCTAATACCTCGCACTCTCACAGTGCATGGAAAGAAACAATTCATGGCTGCGCTAGTCTGGGGTTCAGGCATGCAAAGAGCAGCAGCAACATGAAGTGCACAAGTAAGAGCTGGTGGCCTAGGCAGAACCATGGCCACTGTTTCTTCCGGGTGTTGGGGCTCATTTTCATTTTGCTCATTAAACACTCTCACAGTGCATCCATCATGTTCCCATGCATGCACATTGCAAAAAAAGGTTTCGTACAATGCATGTAAAACTTGTATGCAAGTGGACTCCGTTGGTATTATAACATACCTGCATCTTCCTGTGACATGGTTTTCCAAGCACCTTGACGACAAATCCAGGACGATGATGTTCATCCATTCCAATTTGACCATTTGGCAAATGATTGGGCAAAATTAAAAGTTGCATTTCAGGACGACGATGATGTATTATCATCCATCCATTCCGGTTCGATTGGAAGAAAAATCTTCACTGTTCCAGCAGGGCAGATGTCTCAGATGAAGCTTCCGATCAATTAAATTCATTGGCTGTTTCTTGGGCGGCCTCCGCAATGCTTCTGATGTCATTCCAGTGGGTGACCTCCAACCACATGTCCGACACAAAAAAAGTAATACAGACATGTCTGACGACAAAAAAACATGTGAAACGAAACAAAGCAAAAAAATAAAATGAGCAATCCAAGTGACGTCATCATAGGATTCAGCTTTGGTTGCAATGAGGAATCGTTCCAATGCAAGCAGGAATTGCTCAAGAAACGTCCTGAACCCACTGTCGTTGCCTTGAGCAAGCAGTGCCTCGACCAAGTCCCCAACTACAGACTTGTTTGACATGTAGGCAAACCTGAGTGAGGCAGCTGGCACAAAGTAACACGCATTCAAACTGAAAACACAGACGTCAGAAAACATTGAAGCCAAAATCAAATCACTTTGCCAAGCGGCACTCCTGGACAAAGAAGCCAAACGGCAACGGTGTAGACTGCATTGCCACAGTCATGTGGTTGACCAGGGTGGTCTGGATGATCTGGCAGGGATTGCAGGATGAAACAATTCAGGGACCCATGGAGTGAATCATACCAACTGGGTAAAAGATAAAAATAAATAGCAGTTGGATTAAAATATGTTAATCATGCCAAGACTCCAACACAACCTTTGTGGGAAAGTTTTTTCCTGACCATATACGGCTTGTCCATCAGGACTTGGAACTGCTTCTCAATGTACATGCGGTTGTCATCTAATTTCTCTTTGAGTTTGTACCTTAGACACAAACACTGGCATCTTAAAGTTTTAAACCAAGGTTTCAGCCAAGACACAACAAGAAAACGACATAGAACACGATTTAGCCAAAGCAAAAAAACTGAAACAAAACACAAGGAACAACTGGGCATATGCCGCTCTTATGTCCGATGACTTTGTGTAGAAGTTCCACGGATCGCAGAGACGGCAGCAGTTCCAACGCAGCAAGACGCATTTGCGCGCTTGGTGTTGGCTGGGTGTCCAGTACCTCTTGGAGCGCTCCTCACCGCATACATTGCAACGAAGCATTCTGGCAGTGATACAAATTCGACCAAACAATGCAATCCACACAATCCAAACCATCCAATCCGACCAATCACTATTTTGATATTTGTATCACTGCCAGGGTTGCCAGGACAAAACTGGGGCCAAATGGCTTCAAATGATGTCTGTCTTCAGTCCCATGATGATATAATGGAGGCGGTTCAAATGAAAGCCAACTCAAGAAACCCAACATTGAGAGCTTGGGCTAATATCACTGCCAGAGTTAAGTAGGATCTCTTTTTCATCCATGTCACCACCTGTCATTTTTCACATTTGGTTGCTCACTGTGAGAGTGGGCTCCACATTCATTCAGGTTCTGGGGTTTCCCACACTCAATGGCGCAACACACATGAAATATAACATGCATCATTATATACATATTCATATACATGTGCATGCACTATTTTGGTAGACAATCACTCTCACAGTGACTTACCTGCACCTGCCCAGGCCCATGTGGGCACTCCACTGGGCATTGCACATTCAAATGGCCAGGGGGCTCAGAACCTAGGTTGGGCTGAGATGCTGAATTGGTGTCCAATGTATGGATTTATCCATGGTGCAGACTTCTTTTTGGACTTGTGGGGGCTGAGGCAGCTTTTGGAAATCTAGCAATTGAAATGTAAAACATCTACAAGTCCCTAAGCCATGACCTTAGAACAATAGAATAATAGCCCATATGTAATCAGTTGTAGTTCAAAACCAAACTGGACTTAGGTAAGATGTGGATGCTTTTAGCCATCAGCCAGTCATCAACCAGCCATAATTTGAATGATTTACAATTGAACAAGGTTCTGCGTGCACTGTGAGAGTGCCAGCGTGCACTGTGAGAGTGCCAGGTTAATGTAGTAAATATGTCCCATCTCCCTCACTCACCCACTGGGGCAGTGGCTGCCACCCATTCTGGATGTAGGTTCCTTGGCGCCAAAGAATTTGGCATGTGCAAGCAAGGTATCACACAAGGTCTCACAATGCAGTTCCATGTCAGGCACTCTCACAGTGCTGAGGCTATGTCACATGAACCCCAGCCCTCCACTTTTTCTCTCGACCATGATGGGAGCGTCATGGAGACTTCCTCAACCACAATGGGAGTGCCAAGGGGATGGTTTGATCATAGAGGCCATTTATTTTGAATATTTTTAGATTATGCATGGTAGTGATCAATGACAATGCTTGAATTTTGATTGGTGACTGAATTGAACACTGGATACTTTCATTCTAAATGTTCATCAGTGACCCCAGGCTTTTTGATTATATACATAGCTCATAACACATGATTGTTGCAACCAAAGGCCTCTACGGTCAAAGATCCCAGCCAACTTGAAAAATGATTCTGTACATTGTGTGTGGTCAAAAGATGTGCTGCGGCCCTGATTTTCTCTCATGCCTTGTGCTCAGTCAATCTCCTCAGTCTGCCTTCTCTTCTGCGACTTTCACTTCATCTCATCTCGTTTTCTCTTGTTAGTCTCATCTTGTGATGCAACTTTGCGATCTTTCTTGGCATCCTTCGATATTTTTTTTTCTCCTTCTCCTGGGACGCCTTTGCCTCCCTTGGCTCCTTTGACTCATTCGCTTCCTTGGCCGTCAGGGCCTGTAGTTCTTTCAGCTCCTTCTTATACTTGACCTTCTTTTCCATTGCATTGTCACGCTCAGCCCTTGCCTCTTGCAGATGGCCTTGTAACTTTTCAAGTTTCTGCTGAGTCTTCTCCAGCTCATTCTTGAGATCGGCCTGCTGGGCTTTGAGCTCCTGGGCTTCACGTTCTGCATCTTCCTTGGACTGCTGCAGCTCCTTTACCTCCTGCTTCACATCTTCCTTGGACTGCTGCAGCTGCAGCTCCCTTACCTCCTGCTTCAGAGACGCCTGCTGGATCTTGAGCTCGTGGGTCTCCAACATTGACTTTTCAAGAGATTTGACCGTCCTCTCTTCTCTCTCTGAAGCCAACTTGGCATCCCTGCTGGCTTGGTCCAGTTGGGCTGAGAGATGTTTGGCCTCTGCCGTCTTCTCACGCAGCTGCCTCTCAGATGCCTCCTTCAGCTTATGAAGCTTCTCAAACCTGCCACCATCTCGCAAGTTCTGTGAATTGCCACGGTTGCCCCTGTAGCCAGATGAGCCCCGAGCTGAGCCCTGAGCTGAGCCCTCCTTAGACTGGTTGGAAGCTGCTGCAGCTTGCTGCTGGTACTGCTGCTGGCAATGCTGCTGGTACTGTTGCTGGTACTGGTACTGCTGCTGTTGCACCACAAAGGATGCCAGGTT